ATGGTACTTGAAACGTTTACACATTAAACTTTCAATTATCCAGTTGGAAAAGACTAAACAGCTTTATCTATTTATCGTATTCCTGGATGAGTAACCTTCACCAACGTTACAAGTTCAATTGTTTTGCAAATTGATGTGTTAAGCTTTGAGTCCACATTACGTACAAAAATCATACATTTTGACCTTTTCCTATTTTTTGTTGAAGAAAAGATAAAAAGAAGACATACCCGATTTTTAAACCCTTTTCAGACCGAGTGGTCTTTTGAGCCTCGGGCCAACTTTAATCTAGCGCCTGAACGGCTTGAGCTAGAACCATCAAATTTGATGAACTTTCCTAAAATGTATCTGGAAAAAAAATTTTCTTATTAGTTAAATAAGTTAATGATTTTTTGTGTTGCCATGGCAATGAGTTTCTGACAGGCAGGTTTTTTTGCAAAAATCAGTAATTTTGTTTTAAACATAAAAATTTTCTGGATTTTATATTAAAAAACACTTCCTTTTGGACATCAATAACATCTTACATAAATTTAAGTTGAATCATTTAATATTAATAATGTATGCTAATTTGATGACGTCATCGGTCAAAATCCAACATGGTCAAAATCCAAGAAATCTATTAGTACACCATTCTCTAAAAAATTTGGTGGCCAAACGATAAGTGCAAAAAAACATATAACAAGAAGCCATAGGTGACAATCCTCCGTGAAGTTTTATATATTGCAACAAAAACAATCGCAAGCGTCAACGCCAGACCTACTGTGCAGACATTAGGCAACGGTTAATACAATGAGGGCGCGTAATAACCATAAAACATAAAAAGACCTAAACCCATTACTGCTCGCAGGGCGTGTAAAGATACTATGCTTCAAGTTCGAAGTTTATTTTAATTACACACACACAATCATTCACATAAAGATCGGACTATCGTGGTCGTGTTGTAACAGTAGTGGGTTTATAGGCGCTACCAACAGGTCCTCACTAGTAACAAAGACAGCCCCACCGTCTTACCGCTCCTGTTACTTATTAAGCGCGACTGGCCAGCAGTTGCAGTCAGCACCGCGAGTGTTACTACCGCCGGGCGAAAACATTCCGGACCTTATAGGGATGTTTCAAAAATAAACATTTACTCCAATATCAAAACAGCTACGGTAAAAATTAAAAGACGTGCATCATCGCGGACATAATGCCACACCACATGCGAAATTACACAGAAATGCGACGTACGGAAGAATGCGTTTTGGCTGCGAACATCTTCCAAAAAACTTGCCATCTCTTAAGCACGGGCAAAAACATCTGGAACCACTTATCGGAACCTCACCGTATCTGCATGAAGTTCCACCCCCCCCCACACTGCTATTCCAAACAACGCGTTTTTCTGGACCATTCCAATTCGCCTCGTAATTGTAGGGGTGCGTCTGCAATATTACATTGACCGCGAAAGCAACAACGGCAAAAATACACCTTCGTGCATCAACACGGGCATGCCCGCAGACGGCGTATAGAATTGCGTGCCGATTACACAAAGGGAACCCAGTGTTTTGACTGCGAACACGAAAAACCAGCCGTTCACAACACTCCGTCCGGAGGTCCTGACCTCCTTCACGGAGTAAAAACGGAAATAAAGTAATGTATAAGAACGCCAGTGTATCCATTACGATCGAACACCAGCTGGGGTCCGCGCGGACCCGAAAATAAAATCAGATATAAATTTTTTTTAAATGGGGAAACTGACTTTTCTGCACTGTATTAAGGGACAACTTTGTGGGTGACAATTAGCTGTAATTTCAAAGAAAACATAAACATATATATAATGCTGGGGTCCGCGCGGACGCCGGGTGTACTGTTTAGGGTTAACATAACGCGTTTTAATTAGTTGATTATTAGGAAAAACACCGTTATGACTCCGAACGTAATCTGTCCAGTATGCACTTTTAACTTTGTTAGGCAGGCATAGTCGTACACCGTTACAAGATAGACTATGCAAATTCTGTAATAATTCTTGTATTGAAAATGAATCGCATTTTATGCTTGACTGTATATTATATGATAACGAACGTAAATCACTGTTCAGTTCAATTAAGCTCGACAAAAAATGTAAATCATTATCAAAGGAAGACACTTTTAAATATATCATATCATGTACAAATATAGACGTCATCAATGAAGTATGTAAGTATATTTCAAAATGTTTCAAAAAGAGAGAAGAAGCAATTAGAACTTAGATCGATACCACTTTATATATTATATATTTCTTTTTTAGCATTATATACCTTAGACCTGATGTTAGCCTATCTCTATTACTATTGTTGTAGTACTCTCTAGTACATTGTACTTTGTACATTCGTGCATTTATCCCCCCGGGGAATGAACATGCAAAACATTTTTTTTGTCAATACATGATATGCCTTTTAGGTGGATTTAGGGCAGATAAGGCACGTCACCGGCACCAGTACCCAGGGTGGCCGATATCCTATATTTGAACCATGGGTGAAGTCGTACAAACTTGAGTACAGCGGAGATGGGACTTCTTGGACAACATATGCCGGCAACGATGGGTCCGATCAGGTAACTTGGGTACATAAACACACTGAAACGATTAACCCATACTGCCCTTTAATTCTTAAGTCTGTTTGTGTCTTCGTTAATTTGTTCGGTACATATATTTCTATCTAAATACCATGTTGCAGGGTTCTCATTTGTCCCGTTTTAATAAATTAAGTCCTTTTTACAAAACTATTCTATGTTGATCACATTGCTTGAGAACGATGTCACACAACTACGTACTTCGGGAGCTTCGGTTTAGTTTAATGGATACTGTTTGTCTGAAGGAATGTCAAAATATGAATATATTTCTGTATTTGATAATGTAGAAGATTGACAAATTAATAAATGTATTCTTGACAAAATATTCCGTTTGTTTTTCAGGTTTTTACGGGCAACACAGACAGGAAGACACCTGTAACAAACCTTCTGGACAACCCTGTAGACGCCCGTTATGTGCGCTTTTACCCGCAGACCTGGAATAATTGGATTGCCATGAGGGTGGAAATTCTAGGCTGCAGCACTGAATGTAGGTTTCTGTTTCTGCATTGGTAAGTCTAGAACAATGAAACAACTTTAACCATTGTAACCAAGACTTCATTATCAAACGTTTTCCTTTCCAGTGCTCTGGGGACTGACCCTCGATAAATCGAGACTGGACCACCTGAACGTTTCCTGGACAGTCGTCGGAACTCTTCCGATCTCGCGCTACACTCTCCGCTACCAGCTGGCAGACGGGTCGGGCTCGTACCAGGACCTCTCCCCTGCACCAGGAGCGGGAGCCACCTCGGCAACGGTGGCGGGACTGCTTGCCCACACGGAATACACCCTTACTCTGACTTCTTTTGACTGGGATGATCAGCCAAACGGAGTTATCAACGGGACATACACGACAGGTGGGTGGAGGATTAAGAACGTTAGGTGAATAACCCACGGGTTTGTGCTACATGTATAAAGTAGCACATTAAATATACTGAACAGTAGTCTATAGTGGTAGCAAACCCACTTCTGGATAAGAATATTGAATGTTCAAATTGAGAATTTACCTGCTACTGATAAGTATTGCAGCTCAACGTAGGAGATACTGCAAGCCACTGGCTCAACACAAAACCCTCGCTACGTCTCTCAGATTTGATTTAAACGGTTACCGAAGAGGACCATTGGCATGTATCGTTAACCATCTTTCAAGCCAACTCCAGGAAGACTAGCTATTTGCTTATTATTACTCAGTCACTGAATTCAAGAGACAGTGGATTTTGTCTGTTGCTATATATATTTTAAAAATCAAAGTCTATACGATCATTATGAATAATACAGTACAATGTCATGTTGTCTTGAAAGGTTGAGTTTTATTCGTCTAGAATATATAAGGTCCTTCAGGCTTCCATAAAAGTTGACCTGTTGTGTACATTAGATGAAAAACCACCCAATACTACAAATTCACCTCACCTGTAATTCTGTTTCTCGGCAAATACTAAAAAACTTTCGTTGCATGCCTGAAAGACATTCAAATCTCTGACTGGAAAGAATTTTTTTCACATAGTCTGCCAGGATCCGCTTGGAATGGAATCCGGTGCCATACCGGATGACAGCATCACTGCATTGTCAGTCGGGCATCACAATTTGCTACTCCCCTACTTCGGGAGGTTAAAAGGAACTGCTGGTTGGGGCGGCTGGGGAGCAGGGGTCCAGATCATCGGGCAATGGTTGCAGGTAGGTAGAAATTAACAGATTTTTGTCTAAAAATCGTGTGTATATTTTGAAACGAGCCCTAAGGTTAATTTTATGGAAGGCGATCTGATCCATTGAAGGCAGTAAGTACAGAAACCAACCTTCTCCCAAATCACTGCGTTGGAAGTTCTGTGTCCGTTGTGTTAAAAGCGAGATCTGTTCCTTTTTACATTAAAATATGTCAAAACATTGATTACTTTCAGGTGGATTTAGGAGTGATAAAAAGCGTCACGGGCACAGTTACTCAGGGTGCTTTCTATCCAATTTATAATCACAATTCATGGGTGACGTCATTCAAACTTGAGTACAGTGGAGATGCAACTTTTTGGACGACATATGCTGACAGTGATGGCTCAGATAAGGTAACTTGGATACCTGAATATTATAAAAAAAACTCTCTCTTGAAATATTAATAAATACTTATTTTGTCGTATACATATTTACACGAAATCCTATATAAAATGCCACATTGTTTCCACTCCCGTCTGATCTGTTCCATTTCTTTTATGGACGACATACGCCGGTAGCAATGTCTCATATATGGTACTTGCATACATAAATATAATTTATGAATGTATGTGGGGTCGTGTGGCGTAGCGGCAGCGTTCTCGACTCGGAACCAGAGCCTCGGGTTCGAGTCCTGACATGCCACCGATCTTGTGCCCTTGGGAAAGGCACTTCACACGACTTTCCACACACCTCGCTTAGGTGAACATGAGTATTGTACTGTCCCTGTGTTGGTGGTAGCATTAATATAAGTTGAAAAAACTTGAGTGTGCCGTCACCACGTCTTGTGATTACATGTTTCGGAATATATAAAAAAATATATATAATTTAAAAAGAGCTAAAAACTCTCTCTTGAAATATCAATGAATATGATTTATTTGTTCCGTACACATAAATATATGCTCTTCGAAATGCCGCATTGGTTCGACTCCCTTTTTATGTTTACCGAAGGAAACATATTATATTTGCTCTGTTTCCTCTTCCTCCTCTTCCTCCTCCTCCTCCTCCTCTTCCGTTCCAAACACCTAAAAAACGTCCATATTTTCGTAATTAGAGCTTGGAGGAAAATGAAATTCAGCATGCTGGTAGGTTGGTACGTTAGACATTGAACCTTGGTCATTTTGGCCAACATATATGTCAGAAAATGATTTTATTGGCAAAAAATGGGTGAAAAAAGTTGCATTTTAAGCCAAAAATCGAACAAAAAGAACGCGTTTGGAACATTCGAACAACCATGGAACAATGGAACAGCGTGTTCGATAACCGCGGGTCATTGACCCTAGCGCTACGCACGGAACACCCGAGCTTTCCAAATATGGGCATCCGCCCTTGTATGACAGGAGAAGAGATCGGTGGATCAATGTCAGCGGTAAGTTTTCATTTTTCTTCGTAAAATACGGTCATATGAATACCAGTCTCGAGTAGAGAATATTGCATTGGGATTTTGGGTTCAATATCCACAAGTAGGACTGCAGATTTCCACAGAACGCCGGCGACTTTGTGTAATTTTTGCATAAAACCGCCGGCTCAAATAAAAAACAACACTCATAATTTACTAGCTCCTGACTTGATAGAATCTCGTATGTATAGAGATTTAGGCTTGCTGCCGTTTTGTAAAATAAAGTAAACAGAATATTTGTGTTCATCTGTAACTATTGTCGACTTTGTAATGTGGGTGCGGGGCCGGGGGAGGGGGGCGTTTGTTTACGTTTATTACTGATGACATGATATAACATGGATATAACATTACATTTTGTCGTTTTGTCAGGCAGTTTCAATCTTTTTCGGGATAATACAGTACCGTTCATGGGATAAGCATCAAATCGGGATTCATCGGGATATCCCGAGATTTTTCGGGAACCATGTTGACTAAGATTTTTACAGACAGACGGTGCGGCGCATGTTTGTTTCCAAATTATGCATGATAATAACATTAGCACAAACGGCTAGTGTTATTAATCAAATATTTCTTTTTTAATATCGAAAATTTTAGTGGCTTAATAATGTTTAGAACGATAACAAAATAATACAACCTTCTTGGTACGAGAATTTCTGTCTGACCTTGCGATGTGGACGGCCCGCTAAGTACTGCTTTTGATGTCACCCGACCCGCGCGATCTCAGATATAAAATCTAACACATCCACGTGCCATGTCGCCAGAAGTTCATTTTTCTCCTAGATAGGGGAGGTCGACGCACGGAGCTGCGGAAGGGAGATTTAAAACCATTATACAAAAGAGGGGGGGGCGAAGCATAATTAAAAAGTTCTTTACGCCTCTTGGCTGTGTTTACGATCAGCGACGAACAAGAATTGATACATTTCTGTGACTGGGCCACGTTGCCATAGAAACGGCACGCAGCATAGCTATCACCGCGCGGCGCCAATCACAGCACACAGACGGGAACCCGCCCACTGGCTGGGCGGCAAGATTTCAAACTCAAAGGCTCGATGCTCCGCCCCAGAGACTCCGGCCGCCCTGGCGATTGTAGCGATTTTCCGCCTCAGTCCTGCAAGCGGCATTGTATTTTTCTCATCCCGATTCCATTCCAAAACAACAACGTTTTCACAAGTGACATCGAGAACGAGAATTGCTTTTTCCACCGGTAAGATTTTTTGCCAGCCGCGTGGAAGTACTTGCTTTCAGGGTAATACGTACGTCAATGGACGTGGTCAGATCGTTGATTGTTGATGCAAGGGTTTATTTATTTCATGTGTACGTGTTTGCATGGGAGGGGTGAGACGCTTGCCGCGGGATTTTGATGTGCAAACGTTCCTAATTTTCGTAATACAGAGACTACTTGACGCAGTCTGCTTATGAGAAGATGAGTAGACCTCAACAAGCCAATTTAGTACAAGATGTCACAATGAAATACAACTACTACTACAGCCGGTACGCCCCATTTTATTTGAAGGTTTATAAACTTGCCGAAACTCACCGGAGACGAATTGGGGTTATTAAAAAATTCATTCCTGCTATTTTCTTACAGTTTTCGTGAGTTTTTCGCTGCACAATAGCTTTATAAATAAAATGTAGCAGTTCACCTATTACCGCGTGAGGAACGCGTTATACACAATGTACACTCCTGTGCTATCAGTGAATAAAAATTTTAGCAAAATTGACTGACGTCAGGGTGCTCCATTGGCCCTGCCCAGATCGCCCGACAGGACGTAAAAATAAACATTTGGCACGCCGCCATCGGTGACAGGACCCGCGGTAGACTTGGAGATCTCGCACCACACGCGGATATCTCGCGGGATTTATCGGGACGCCTATCCCGAAAAATTCCGTATCCCGATGATGCATATCCCGTGAAGTTATCTCTCTAAACATAATAAGGATAATATCAGTTTCTGATCACATTTGAAATGCTTACTCTCCTGTTTGTATCCTCTTAAGACTCTTAAGATTGGACCTCTGCTAGGAAAGGAAGCAGAACTTGGTCCATGAAAAACTGGGGAGGAACCTAACAGAGCTGAACCCAGCCATCCACAGAAGGATACAACACATCACAACCATTTCTAGAAACACATTATATCTCCATTTTGGCCAGTAAATATTCATTATGTATGTTAAATTTGCATAATATATGTAACAGTTAAGTCATGTATAGCTTTTAAGTATGTATGTATGGTTTTATAGAGTGTGTAGTTCCAATATTTTACACAACTGTAGATTTTCATCATCATTGCAATGATTTTCATATAAAATTTCAAAGAACAATTATTATAGAAGTGGGTATAATTCACTGGCTCGGCGATCAAAAGACAAGTAAAACCCAACAAAACTGGCTTGATATATATCTTATATACTGTAGTATAAAGACTAAAGTGTACTGTAGGAATTAGTTCTTCATATCATTGTATATCATTTCGTATGATATACGTATTTACAATTAGCCTTCTGTCATGTATTTGTAATAATAATAAACTTATCATCATTATTATTTCAGCCTACGTCCTGTTCCCTATTTACAAAAATGTAATAAGGTAGTGAGATGAGCGCAGCAAAGTCCTTTGTAACTAAAGCTGTCAAAAAGACTCGAAGTTTACTTGCAGTCTGCAGAGGATGTCATTGATTAAAGTTACATGCTGTGGCCTAATTGCAAACATGGTAAGAGTGTGTGCTGAGTGAATCATTGGTACTGTGGTATGTAACTATATATATCCTAGTATCTCCTATACATGGCACTACAAGACTAGTCTATGGTAATGATCTTTGAGTGGCATACGGGTAGACTTGGCCTTACAACGGCAAAAACATTCAAATTCCCCCGTTATAACGTTGATGTTACTCACAGCACATAAAAGTCAGTAATATAAGCAAACTATCCTTCTACCTTTCCTTTCCTAATAAAGGTATAACGTTAAATCGTAGGCAAGACCATCCTGAGGTAAACATATTGCATTTGCTTGCAAATGTTACCTTTCTAGTTAATGGTCCTTTTTTAATGAATGAATGAATGAAGACCTTTATTGTACATTTTGCCCCACTGGGCTAAAGACAGGTCACATATAGACAAAGTACATCATCAATGTTGATAATAAAACGGCTATAGTACACAAGTACGTTCAACTTCCTCTCGCTTTCTGGTAATCTTATAAATGTAGTTGGCAGTATGAGTAGTTAGAGCTGGTTTGTTAAAGACTACAAGGAATATAAATTTCTCTATACTGTTCAGATACTTAAATTGGGAGTATTTGCTTGACACAAAATCGAAAAGAACGTTTCTTTCGCTGTCATACATGGAACAATCCACAATAAAATGTACCTCGTCTTCTACTTTACCTAAACTACAATATTGGCAGATTCTTTGCTCTAGAGGAGTGCGGTTATGTCTTCCTGATTCAATTCGCAAATTAAATGCTCCCAAAACCTTTCTCAGTTATAGCATATACCCGCCTATGGGTGTCACGATCTTTAGTTCTGCTTACTGTATACAGTCTATCATTGATGGAATGTCAAAATTATTATGGCAGAGGGGTTGTTGGCAGTATAAAAGATCTACAAGATTCAAAAGGTTCTCATCTAAATAATACATTTGTCTTCTAGGTTTTTGCAGCCAATACGGACACGGAGACACATGTAACAAACCTACTGGACAACCCTGTAGACGCCCGTTATATCCGCTTCTACCCTCAGTCCTGGCATATTCGCATCGCTATGAGGGTGGAGATTTTAGGCTGCGGCACTGAGTGTAGGTTTTGGTTTCTTCGTTGGTTAATAAAAGTTTGTTCACTGGCGATGATGTACCATTGTCAACCAATATATACCATTCATTTTTAGTGCTCTGGGGACTTACCCTCAATGATGCCGGGATGAGTCATCTTAACGTGTCCTGGACAGTCGTCGGGAATCTTCCGATCTCGCGCTACACGCTCCGCTACCAGCCGACAGACGGGTCGGGCTCGTACCAGGACCTCTCCCCCGCACCAGGAGCGGGAGACACCTCGGCAACCGTGCTAGGACTCTTGGATCACACAGAATACACCCTCACGCTGACTTCTTTTGACTGGGATGATCAGCCAAACGGAGTCATCAACGGGACATACACGACAGGTGGGTGAAGGGTCAATAACGTGGGTTTGTCACTTGATTAACAGATAACTTTAAATTTCTAAGATATGTTTCAAGGTGTGAGCGATGAGGACTATTGGCATGTCGTTAACCATCTGTCAATTGCTAAGAGTTTGTCTGTTATATTTTCTAAAACCAGTTAATATATTTTTGCTAAATTTATCTATGTGCAGAAAATGTAATGCTGGCCGCTTATTCTCACCTAGACTCTAAATGTGTAGCCTTTCCTTACTATAGCTATCGTCACTCCCTAACCCAAAGAGAAAACTGTTTTTGTCTGTTTCTTCAAATATATGTACATGTAAGGTCACCTTTTAGTGGGGTGTCAAAATAATGTTGAGTATTTTTCTGTTTAAATTTCATTTAAACTTTATTTTAATTTTGTTGTACTTTAAAATGTTTTGTTTTTCAAAATAAGGCCACACCAAGTTAATTTTATGGATGGCATTCTCTGAAGACCCCCAAACTAGTGCCAAAAATAAAAATGCTTCTAAACCACAGGAATACAAAGCTGGTATTGTGAATTTGCGGCAATACATAGCGTCATGATAGCGAAGTATACGATATGCCGGCAAATGCTGTTTTTTGTGGCATTCATGAATCGGTACTGCTAAATCTTTTCTAGTCGTTGTGGAGTTTCGTTAGCCTGAGTGATATCCTCCAGTCCAGAGTTACCACCTCCGTATTGTACCCAGGCCTAGAGCCAGGCCAGGGCCTCGGAGGACGTGATTTTTTTTTTTTTTTTTTTTTTGAGAACAGACGAAAATCAATGCGCGCGCGGATGTCATCCATAAAATGTAGTCGGTGTGGCCTAAACTACAATACATTTTGATTACATTTTTTTTCAAAATAAACTACAATACATCGATGAAGGTTAGACATCCAGGTAATACGATATGCCAAAAAGCAGTTACTTAATAAAAGCAACTGGATATGATTTTGGAAGCGGTCAGACGTTTCAGCTAGTATCCACTAGCTTTAGTCAGTGACTGAGAGACCAGAGGGGAATGCAGGCTTATAAGCACAAATTACAGACTCAAATGTGAGGAGCCCAATTGTAACAACACCTAAAGTCGACCGCTTAAAATAAAGCTTTGGTCACAACCCACCGTACGTATTTTGTCCGTACGTTTTTTTGGAGGCTACGTCTGCTACGTTTTTTCTGAAAACGTGGGGAAGGAGTGGCATCGACGCACGTCACTCGAACGGTTGCGCAAGGTGTAAGAGTGTGGTCTGCACGCCACGTCTGGCCGTGAGCGGTTGCATGCATCGTACGTTGCGCAAGTGGTAAGTTGTACGTGCTTACAACGTACGATCTCTGTGCGATTGCAACTTTACCGTAAGGACGTCGTACTTACACGTGCTTCCTCCGTACGGTACCTACGGGGCACGCGCGTCGCTCGTACTCGCACGCACGGATGGTGAATCCGCAGACCGCACGCAGAAAAATGCACTTGGTGTTCTACGGCCTGTCTGCGTGCTCCAAAATCCGTAGAATTCCGTATGGACGCGGTACTCACCACGCACGGATTCCCTATGTTTGCTCACGTTTTTGCACGTAGACAGCACGCAGAAGCACGTACGGCGGGTTGTGACCGAGGCTTAAGGTACAAGGAACATTGCAGACCTAGTGTAAAGGGCTACTCCTCAGTCATTTTCCACCACCTACAACACAACCAGGGTCACTCTTTCAAACTCGAGTCCATGGATATCTTAGACCGCGAAACACGCTGGTGGGAACGGAGTGATAAAGAGGCAATATATGAAAGAATGTACAACCCCACCCTAAACAGGGAATAGGGCTACGGGTGGATCTCTCCGGCACTTGCAATTGGCGCTCCCAGCCCCGAGGACAGACAACACTTAAGCTCCTGTTCTGCAGAACAGGAGCTTTCTGACTAATTTGCATTATCTTGTCTTGACTTGTCTGACTTTTGTTCCCCTTTCGACTTCCAAAATTTTTTCTTCCCTTTATTGCATATCAATCAATAGTTTGTGCTTATAAACCTGCATTTCCCCTCTGGTCTCTCAGTCACTGACGAAAGCTAGTGGATACTAGCTAGCTGAAACGTCTGACCGTTTCCAAAATCATATCCAGCTTGAGTAGCTGCCTTTTTGGCATAAACTACCATACGTTTTAATTAGATAAATACTACAACACTGCTAGTGCCCTGGCTCCTGTATACTGGTACGGTCTTAAAAGTGGACGGTTATTCTAATAACCGACCACTTTTGAGGTTACGGTCTAATAACCAATGGCAAATGGAGGCTTCTGATTGGTCGACGCCTTCTAGCTTTATGCTAATACAATACATTTCCCCCTAGTCTGCCAGTATCCGCTTGGGATGGAATCTGGTGCCATACCTGATGGCAGCATCACCGCATCTTCAATCGGGCATCACAATTTGCTACTCCCCTACTTCGGGAGGTTAAAAGGAACTGCTGGTTGGGGTGGCTGGGGAGCAGGGTATTTCCTCATCGGAGAATGGTTGCAGGTAGGCAAAAACTCACAGATTCCTTCTAAAACTGTTGTGTATATTTTGAAAGGACTCCTTGTTCACTTGCAGTCCGATTTATCGAAGCGATTACACACAGAAACCAACCTTCTACATCACTGCGTTAAAAGTACTGTATTCGTCGTGATAACAGCAATATCTGTTCCTTATTGATTTATTATATGTTAAACCAATTATGCCTTTCAGGTGGATTTAGGGGTGATAAAGAGCGTCACGGGCACAATTACTCAGGGTGCCTCCTTTCCTGTTTATAATCACTATACATGGGTAACGTCATACAAACTTGAGTACAGTGGAGATGCAACTTTTTGGACGACATATGCCGACAGTGATGGCTCAGATAAGGTAAGTTGGATATCTGAATGTTATTTAAAAATCGAAACCTCTAGCTTGAAATATTAGTAAATATTTATTTTTGTCGTATACATATATATACCTATCCCCTATATGAAATGCCGCATTGTTTTCACACCCGTGTGATCTGTTTCATTTCAATTGTATGTTCCCCCAACTATTCTCTGTTATCACATAAGTAACACTGATATCTTCGCTTGAACGACTCTATATATATATATATCACAAACCTATGAGCGTCGCGATCTCTGGTTTTCCTTACTAAATACATTTTATGACTAATGGAATGCCAAAGCTATGGTGGTAGAGGGGGGTTGTTGGCAGTACAAATGATCTAGAAGATTCGGAACAAAAGCCCTTACCCAAGTTGTACATTTACCTTCCAGGTTTTTACAGGTAACACGGACGAGAAGAATCCTGTAACGAACCTACTGGACAACCCTGTAGACGCCCGTTATGTGCGCTTCTACCCTCAGTCCTGGCATGGTCGTCCCACTATGAGGGTGGAGATTTTAGGCTGCGGCACTGAGTGTAGGTTTTGGTTCTGCATTGATTAAAATTAGTTCACTGGCAGTGTTGTACTATTGTTAACCAATATATACCATTACATTTTAGTGCTCTGGGGACTTACCCTCAATGATGCCGGGATGAGTCATCTTAACGTGTCCTGGACAGTCGTGGGGAATCTTCCCATCTCGCGCTACACGCTCCGCTACCAGCCGACAGACGGGTCGGGCTCGTACCAGGACCTCTCCCCCGCACCAGGAGCGGGAGCCACCTCGGCAACAGTGCAGGGACTGCTGGCCCACACGGAATACACCCTCACGCTGACTTCTTTTGACTGGGATGATCAGCCAAACGGAGTCATCAACGGGACATTCACGACAGGTGGGTGAAGGGTCAATAACGTGGATAAACAACCCACGGGTCTGTGCTACATGTATACTTTTGTCGCTTGATTAACTGAAAACTCTAAGTTTCTCAGATATGTTTCAAAGTCTGAGCGATGAGGACCATTGGCGTGTTTTGTTAACCATCATGTACAGACATGTCTGTTATATTTTCTAAAACCAGTTAATATTTTTTAGCTAAAGTTATTAATAACTTTGTGCAGAAAATGTAATGCTGGCCGCTTTTTCTCGCCCAGACTCTAAATTTGTAGCCTTTTCTTACAACCCTCCAGACTGCGACCGTTTTGGTCGCATATGCGACCAAAAATTAAGAAATGCGACTAAACTTGTTACTCTGGTCGCGCACTGCGCGACCGGCAGAGAATCCGCGGTGCGCCTAAATTATTGGCTATAGCGCTGTTAGAGGCAAACATTTCTTATTTTTTCCCGTAAGAATGTCATATCAATGCCAGGCAAAATCATGTTCATTTGTCAGAAAACCCATTACAAGTCCGTAGATACCATTATCTCGGCAAATAAAGCGGCAAAACAGCTATTTTCCGGCGAAAAAACAAGCCCGACACAACCGGGTCGCCATCTTGTTTTCATTTGGTGTGCACTCGCGACCCGACTCTCGCGAGACTTGATATCCTTATACCATTAGAGGGGTCAGGTGACGAGATCTCGCCTTCAAAACTTGTGCAGTGCAGTGTGTAGTGCAGTGGACCTAGCGCGACCGGTAGTCATACACGATGTTTCCATCTGGCCTAAATTTGGGGGGGAAACCAAGGAGATAAATATCTTTATCAGCCACAAATATTTGATTGTTGGCAAAGTTTGTGTTGGAAAAGAGATCCTCCCTCATGGCCCAGGAGCGTGCAGGATAGGGAAGTTTGGCAATGCGTGACTGATATGATTTTCTACTAGAACTCCTCTAAGGAAAACTTGGGCAGATCGCTGTTGTGCAGACTTTTCAATTGTTCAAAGGTCAACTGAAACTAAGTTGTAGATTGTTTTGATACAGTTGAAGAAATAATTAATATTAATAGCAAAGTTTCAACTCAAGGTATTTAGACATTTGTGTAGCCTTATTATTAAATAATTATAGGCAATTCCAAATAGATTCTTCCCCTTGTTTTCTACTCTGTCCTTTTTCCATGAGTCTTTTTTATTGTCTTTTATTTTTTATGAATTATTTTTGTCAATGAAACTACTTCAGACATGTAGTGTAATACCTGAAAAGTTGTAAAAAATAAAGAAGATTGTCTTCATTGTTGTGGAAAACCTGTACCTTTAAGTTTAATGTTAACAAAATGGTTTGAGTAGCAATGTTAATATTGTTATCTGTTAAGTGTTTTTTTTTCCAAAAATAAAGGATTCATTGTTGCAATGATAAATGCATAGATATATGTCATTTATATTTTGGGCAAGTGAAAAGTTGGTTCGGGCAAGTGAAAATGACCATGCACTTGCCCGATAGGGTTGGATTTTAGAAAACTTGTCCAACCCTGCAGAGGCCTAGGAGACCGACATATCAGTCAGCCTGGTCTAACGACTGAGATGAAGTGACTTTGAACACATTAAAGACAGTTACTTTTAAAATCATTGTTTGGTCTTTCATTTATCACAATTCTTTTAGTACAAATGGTGAATTTAGATTTTTTTTCTATGATAATGAAAGAATTATTAATTGTCTGCTTAGGTACATTATTCTCTTGGCTTCTAAATTAAAAAGTACTTTGCGCGACCAGATTTTTTGTTTGCGCGCCCAAATGTTTGCCTGCGCGCCTAACTTTTTGAGGCTAGGAGCGCATGCGCTCCTAAGCTAAAAATTTAGTCTGGAGGGTTGTCTTACTATACCTATCATCACTCACTAACCCAAAGAGAAAACCGTTTTTTCTGTTTCTTTAAAGTCTATAGAATTATGGGGAGCCATTTAGTACATGTGCATGTTGTCTTGCATGTTCAAGTTTTGTTCGGTTAGAATATATAAGGTCCTTCAGGGTTTCATAACGGTTGATCTGTTGTGTGCACTGAGTAAATTACCACCCGACACTACATATTCTTTTTGAATTAAATTCTGTTTTTTTGGCAAAAACTAGTAAATTTTTCGCTGCACGCCTTCAGTTTCAAGACATCCAGACCTCCGACTTGAATATAATATGTTTTCTCCTAGTCTGCCAGTATCCGCTTGGGATGGAATCTGGTGCCATACCGGATGACAGCATCACTGCATCTTCAATCGGGCATCACAATGGGCTACTGCCCTACTTCGCGCGGTTAAAGGGAACTGTTGGTTGGGGCGGCTGGGGAGCAGGGATCCAGATCATCGGGCAATGGTTGCAGGTAGGTAAAAATTGACAGAATTCTTTTAAAACTGTTGTGTATATTTGGAAAGGACTTTGTTTACTTGCAGTCCGATTTATTGAAGCGAATGCACACAGAAACCAACCTTCTACATCACTGCGTTCGTCGTGTTAACGGCAAGATCTGTTCCTTATTGCTTTATTATATGTTAAACCAATGATGCCCTTTCAGGTGGATTTAGGAGTGATAAAGAGCGTCACGGGCACAGTTACTCAGGGTGCCTCCTTTCCTGTTTATAATCAATATACATGGGTAACGTCATACAAGCTGGGGTACAGTGGAGATGCAACGTTTTGGACGACATATGCCGACAGTGATGGCTCAGATAAGGTAACTGAACACATTTCTTTAAAAACAACTCTTTCTTGCAATTTTGATGGTCTCTCTTTTTTAATTGTTCACATAGCAATACCCTCTTTGAAATACATTCAAACCTATTCGAGCAGGAACCTTGCGTGGGCAAGCAACTGCAGTCACTAACCACAATATAACAGTCCTGTTCAAAGTTGTATAGTTTCATACAGGGCACTCTCCCAGGCAGAGAATTGTGTACCCAGCCAATAGCCACTTTTCTAGTGCCCAGGGTCATTCTGACCTCCTTTCGCTAGTCACAATTTATTGATAGCCGCACCCAATATAGCAGCAGCTCTTTAAATTGTCTTTACATGTTTTGTAATGTATTCGGCGGACCGGCTACTCTCATTTTGCAGTCAAGGGCTGAATTGTAAGAGCTTACAATTATTGGGACGTAATCGCAATGGCCAGAAGTGGCTACCATTCGGCGCTAACGTTGGTAGTATAAAAGATCTACAAAAGTCGAAACAAAAGCCCTTATCTGAATTATACATTTACCTTTCAGGTTTTTACAGCCAACACAGACAGGAAGACACCTGTAACAAACCTACTGGACAACCCTGTCGACGCCCGTTATGTGCGTTTCTACCCTCAGTCCTGGCATATTCGCATCGCTATGAGGGTGGAGATTATAGGCTGCAACACTGACAGTAGGAGTATTTTTGTTGCCTTTGATAGAGTCTAGTCCGTTTTCACATTGTTACCTCCATAAAATGAAATGAAAAATGTAGGTATTGTTTTTTTGTGTGTCTGTGTGTGTGTTTCCGCAACTTAGTGATTAGCATAACTTCAGAAAGCCTATATGGATTGTTATGATAATATATACTATGTTGATAGGTCATGAGAAAACAAAGCTCAATGTCAAATATGGACCTTCTGGTGGCTGCCCTTGGTACTGCAGCTGAACCGGTTTTTATTTCTTTTGGCCTAAACATGCTATGGTCTTGTTTTTTTGGTGACAAATAGCTTTTTTTGTTAGGCATAAGTGGTATGCGTTTCGTCCCCCTAGCTGTATGTTCTGGAACTACAGGCGACTTTCTTTTTCCGTGACAAGGGATATTTTAACAGGAAGGAGTTGCCATGACCAGCCCTGTACCCAACCCCCAACCTGGAGGACCAGGTGCCGCCTTTTGTCTGACCCCTCACCTGCCATGGACATAAACACCCCCGCCGATATAGCCTACTATATATATATATATATAAAGAGCGGCCCTTTAACATATTAAATGTCTGCTCACTTACCCAGATGCTTTCCCCTCCGAGATGCAATAAGACGCTCTGTCATTATTATAAAACTAGTTATCAGCATTTAAAGAACAGTAACTGCTAAAATTAATGGATTTAAGACGTCTCAAACAAAAGATGAACATGTTGCAATATAATCAAATTTTCAGGCAAGACGAATTAGAGAACAAATCTCCAATTATAAATATAAAGGTGTTTAAATTTCAGTTAATAGTAATTTCTTCGGGTGTTTGAGGGTTAACCAATTTGTACCTTTTTCAAAATTAATACAACATGTAGACATTATACCTGCATTTCTGTTTTCTCGCATTATTCCTTTTTTTAAGCTAGTCATGTTGACCGGGCGTGAGATGGAAAGTCAAACACAAAGTTGCTCCTCCAAGTGGCGGGAAATGACGGGGCTTACTTACAAATCTGGGTGGTTATTTCTGTCTCAGTATACAGTCATGTGTATTACATTAATCTGCATATTTCCGTATCTGTGTACAGATGTATATTGTGCTGCACAGACCATCCCAAACGGTGAAGTGAGTGGTTACGGGGACGTAGTTTTCTTCAGGTGTCACCCAGGATACAAATTGGTCGGCGAGTCAACTCTAACCTGTCAGGATAACGGAACCTGGAGTGGAAGTTTACCCACATGCGCAGGTAAGTTGTTCTCGAGCTAAAAAGAAAATGAAAATCTTCATCAGTGCTGTTTCTTAGATAGACGTGTTCAAATAGTGTCGCTTTATAGTGTTTGCCCAATCTTACATGATTCATTTTGTACAGCATGTGCGGTAAACGGAGGCACCTGCTCGGCATGGGGAGATCCACACTACACGACGTTCGACGGAAGGAAGTATGATTTCCAAGGCCCGTGCAGATATACGTTCGCCAAAGACTGTGGACACGGCGACTTTACTGTGGAGACAAAAAACGAACCCCTAACCGGGAATCCATCTGTTTCTGTAACTCGTGAGGTCTACGTGATGGCGTTCGGGATCGAAATCGAAATTCTTCAAGGCAGAGTTGTAAAGGTGAGCTGCATTTCTACCTCCGTGAAGGGGTTTTATCTTCGGTGGGATTACTGTCTTTCGTTTTGTTTGTGTATTCGCAACTATTGCTCCTAGTCAAGATACTTTTGACGGAGTTCTAGTTAGTGGGATGCGTTTAGTAATTGAGGGTCCGAATAAACATGGAAGTCACGATGCAGAACCTGCTGTCGCCGCGCCGCGTGCTTGCGAAGTATGGTGTATATGCATGATACCATTCTTTTTTTTTTTTCAAACAGATGAATGGAGAAACCACATCGCTTCCCTACCACAAACCAGGAGGCAAGATCGATATCTACCTGACTGGAACTGATGTCCGAGTACGGCTTGTCGACTCGTGCGTGGAGGTATCCTTTGACGGGAGTCACATAGTCAGGGTCAGTATGCTTACAAACAGACAGACAGACATGGTGTCACACTTCAAATCAACCAAAAGTCTTCAAATCGATTAAAGTTTTTCTTAGTAAAAGAATGTTAAAGTTAATGTGTTTTACAATGCTTCTACAGGTGGATGTTCCACGAAGTTACATGAACAATACGTGTGGACTTTGCGGTAACTTCAACGATGACCCATCCGATGACCTGAATGGAGAGAGCGGGACCGTTTTCGGTAATACACATCAGACCAACACGATGAAGTAAGTGAAGTGAATACAAGTAATGCATGCCCATGTCCATATTCATAAATAAAACCATGCTACTTTTGGTAATTGTAAATACATCGATATCAAAAACATCTCTAAAAATACTTTTCTAGAAAGATTCTTCTTTATTCCTTGCAGCACGAATAACTGTCCTAATAAATGAAAAAAAAAATATGGAAAGGCTTTAATTACTTCTGACTCATGTTACCTGTTTTCTTGTTTCTAAAACAAGATGTAGAAGAACGTATGCAACCTGAATTCTTGGTGATATTAGGATAAGTAGTGCTATTGTTAGGTTTATTGGGTATTTAATATTATATTTAATCTGCACAACGAACAAGACTTTTTCAAAACAAAAATATGGTAATAATATAATGTTGTCTTAAATCATTAAAAGGCACCATTCCGTTGTAGTAATAAGGCATCATGAATCCATCCCAGTTGTTCTGGAGGCCCAACAGGTCCCCCTCCCCCTTGTCCCCCGGAATTGGAGAGTCAGGTGATGGCGGATGACAAGTGCGGCGTGATAAAAGATGTGAACGGCCCGTTTGCTGCTTGCCAAGGCGTTGTGGATCCCGTGGGTTACTTTGAGGACTGCGTCTTTGACATGTGTGCATGGGACGGAACTGACGGGCTGTGTCAGAACCTGAAGGCATACGCTGACGCCTGTGTGGCAGCCGGCGTGCAGTCCGAGTCGATCAGCTGGCGAACTGCAGAACGTTGTCGTGCGTACGATTCTAATGCTATATGTGTGTGTTTGTGTTTGAGTGTGTGTATGTGTTTCCATGTTTGTGTGAGTGTGTGTAAGAGTTTGTGTCTGTGTATGAGAATATTTGCGCGTGTATGAGAGTGTGTGTTTTTGAAATGTAAGTGCGTTTCAGTGTGTGTGTTTTTTGGGTGCGTGGGTTCTTGTTAAGGTATGTGTGTGCCTATAAATAAGTTATTCCATTAGTCTGCCCACAATTACCTTACTCTAAAATCTTTTGTCATACCAGATTTTGACTCGTTTTTTTTTTATTACAGCGTTGGCGTGCCCAGCAAACAGCGCCTACTCGTCATGTACAAGTGCCTGCCCTGCGACTTGCGTGAACCCCAGCGCCCCAGACAACTGTAACCTCCCCTGTGTGGAAGGCTGCGGGTGTAATGTAGGATACGTACAGATTGGACTGGACTGTGTCCGTCAAGCGGACTGTGGCTGCACTGATCAAGACGGATACTACCATACTGTAAGTTTCAACTGTGACCGAAGTATCAGTGCTCTAAGCCAATACCCTGAATAGTCTAAAAGCAGACAGTGTAGTTGCAATTACAATTGTACATACTGTAAAAACTATATTTAATGTATTATTATGTTGCTTTGCTGATATACTTTATCTTGCTTTTTACATCGATTTAGCTTGGGGCAGTATGGGAAGGTGATGGTGAGGAATGTGAATGCCAAGCAGGAAACACGATCTTCTGTAAAGGTAGGAAAATTAATATAGAAACAAAGTAAATACTCTATTCTATCTATAGAAGATTCCATCGGTTACGTATGTAGATTTACAAAAGAAAGGGGAATTTGTAGTCCTAAAAGGGGTCCTGAATCGGAGAGGATTGGTTAAATTGGGCCACACTACGTGGTTTTAGTTCTGCAATCGAAATACGAAATATCGAAAATATCTTGCAAAAAATTAAATACCTCATGAACAGCAAAAAAATACATTGAAAGAACTAGAGAGGCCGACATTTGCTTGGGAGCAAATACAGCATATTTCAGTCCATCTCCCTCCCACGCAAAGACTATTCCAAACTTACCCCAGTGTAAAACTGGCAAAGATTCTCAAATAAATGAGTTATATAGTAGCTATGTAATTGAGAACAAAGATGCAAGAACAAGCACATTGAATCTCGAAAGCTTTATTAATCTTATTACAGGTATGCAAATACTAACAATGATGAGATTTGATACATTTTGAAGGTCTTAGGCACATAAAATTGAATGTGTGGGTCATTACGCACGACTTACGTGCAATGTGACCTCAGGTAACCCACAACAGAACACGTGTTCCATGGCCAACGGCAGATAGAACGGGCCATTCCTTAGATAGAACATGGAGTGGGTATAGCACTTTTGGCCCTTTTTTTGCCTGAAATAGCCATTTAAGTCCCCCAAATGAGTCATTTGGAAGTGGTGTATGCCAAATATGTGACTGCTATTCTGTAGACACATGTTCAAGGTACCCTTATACCGACTTTCTGATCATTTGGTTGTAAAACCAGGGCTCAGGATCCAAAAATCCATTTTTTGGCGAAAAATGCCCAAAAAAAACCTTCATAAAAATTTTTCAAAGGCATGTATCAAAAAAATGAAAACCCTGGGGTATTGGCCCACTCTATCTCCATGCCAAATTTCAAGTCATTTTGCTGAATGATGGAGGAGTTGAATCCCTTTGACTGTTTGGCAGGAGAAGAAGAAGGAGGAGGAGAAACATGAGAGAACACAATATATTTCCTCCATACCATGGTATGGACTGAAATATAACTACAATAAAGAATGGACGGCAAATAAATGTACAATTTGTATAAGAATGTACCAAAAACGAGGCAGCGGTATAAAGTTTACAGCGATGCTGTATTTGTGTGGCTAAATTATTATCCGAACATTAGGTGAGCTGCATATAAATGACTAACGGTTTAGGTTCTTTAAGGCGGCCTGGGAGGCAGAAAGATAACGATATGCTAATGAAATACTCGCAGGATTACATGAGAACTGATATTGGGTTAAAAAAAACTAACAAAGATCTAGGAATACAGATGTTTAGACTTAACACGGAATATAGAAGCTTATGGATTTTCCTGCGTTTTCCTGATACTGTGCCAGTTAAAAAGAAGCCATTGATAAGCCAATGGGACAAATGCAAATGACAGTCGTAGTACTACTAGTATGGGTGTAAATCACTAATCTCCAAGCAGATCCCTCTCGGTGGCAAAAAGACAGTATCAAATTGGCCAGACAGTATTTATTAGCCAGAGAAGCTCCGCGGCCACCGACGGTGGGGATCAAGACAAAAAAACGGCCATATATAAAAAGGTAACGATCATTCCCCCACAACCTCTGCTTGGAGAGTAGTAAATCACCACCAGTAGTTACATATAATTAGTCAGTACCGGCGCTGAGCTGACAGGACGTGTCCAACGTTTCACCGGTATCGATCAGAGAGTGAACAGAGTATTGGTAAAACTGCTTGAACATTTGAAGATTTATGTATTGCAAACATGATAGAGAGTCAAAGATTAAAATCTTTTTTTTTTTACTACAGCGGTTCAATGTCAGACTCTAACGGCCCCAACTAACGGTGCCCTCAGTACCACAGCGACTTCCTACCAGACCGTAGTCACCTTCTCCTGTAACTCGGGATATCAACTGAACGGGGCTACTGATGCGACGTGCCAAGCTGACGGAACATGGAGTAATTCTGATCCAACATGTGAACGTAAGACGACTTCAAGTTTATATTTGCTAGCGATTTTTTATGAATTGTAGTTTACAGCCATTTACAAGATCGCAAAGACAGTTTTAAAAGCTAAATCGGTGAATTTTGTGTTTGTTAAACATGATGGACGTCATTTTAAGTATCCGAGGCACTGAAATAGATCCCTGTGATGAAAGTTTATTAGCCATTTCAGTCGGCCAGACCATGTGCAACATTGACGGTCCAAAATAGTCGAGCTATTTCAAACCACATCTGTACTCAAACATGGTCAGGTTCACTTTTAATACACCAACATGTTGTTTTTTGGCGATTTTCTTTATAGTTAATATATGTTTGATAGGAATTATTTCTTTCCATACTCTCCATTGCAGCGGTTCAATGTCCGGCTCGGACGGCCCCAACTTACGGAGCGGTGAGTCCTACCGGAGCGGTCTCTTACCCGAATGGGGTCACCTTCACCTGTAACTCGGGATACGAACTGGACGGAGCTGCTGCTGCAACGTGCCAAGCTGACGGAACATGGAGTATCCCTGTGCCAACATGCACACGTAAGATGACTTGAAAATGTATATATGCTACAATTGTGGTGATGTCTATAGAACTGAAGTATACTTTACAGGCATTTATCAGATATGAAAGGAGTATTAGAAGGTAACTGCGTGATTTCAGGTCGCGGAGAGAACACGGTGAGAGCGCCGTCTATGTGGAATGGGGGTATGATCAAAACATGATAGAAACTTTAAGAAAGGCATATATCAGGATCCGTCCGTATCGTACGTAGGGAATGGCACACATTAAGTGTTGTGAATTCTTTACTAGCTACTTGTTTGATGGCAATTATATCTCTTTGCAATGATCATTGCAGCGGTTCCATGTCCGACTCTTACGGCCCCAACTAATGGAGCTCTAAGTCCTCTCGGACCATACGCCTATCCTGACGGGGTCACCTTCACCTGTAACTCGGGATATCAACTGAACGGCTTTGCTGCTGCCGCGTGCCTAGCTGACGGAACATGGAGTAATCCTGTTCCAACATGCACGCGTAAGATGAATTGAAAAACTGATACATGATATAATTGTAGCGATGTCTAGAGAACTGTAGTATACAAGCATTTATCAGATATAGGGTTTTGAGCGGAAGTGAGCCCCAGGCCACACTTCAACCCAGATGGGCATTACTGCTAGTGGTCAGCAAAATATCGTGACCGGTCCCCTTTTCTCAGCCAAATTCATCATAGATGGGATTCATCCTCAAAACGTAACGCGCTTTGATTGGGCAAGTTGACATGGCCTTAAAACAAACATATCCGGGCAGTGAGAAAACCTTCATTACAGAGTAATAGAAGGTAACTGTATGATTTTAGCACTCACGGTAGACAGGTATGTATGGCAGTACCGTTTCAGCAGAAAGCACACATAGAGTTCGTGAATTTTTTTACTATGTAGCTCTTTTTTGGTGGCTATAATTTTTTTTTATAATTCGTATTGCAGCGGTTCCGTGTCCGACTCTTACGGCCCCAACTAATGGAGCTCTAAGTCCTCTCGGACCATACGCCTATCCTGACGGGGTCACCTTCACCTGTAACTCGGGGTATCAACTGAACGGGGCTACTGATGCGACGTGCCAAGCTGACGGAACATGGAGTAATTCTGTTCCAACATGTGAACGTAAGACGACTTTACGTTTATATCTGCTAGCTATGTTTAATGAATTGTAGTTTACAGCCATTACAAGATCGGAAAGGGAGTTTTAAAAGCTTATTCGGTGAATTTTGTGCTTGTTAAACATGATGGACGTCAATTAAAATATACGAAGAACTTAAATAGATCCCTGTGATAAAAGTTTATTAGCCATTTCAGCCGGCCAGACCATGTGCAACATTGACGGTCCAAAATAGCCGAGCTATTTCAAACCACATCTGTACTCAAACATGGTCAGGGTCACTTTTAATACACCAACATGTTGTTTTTTGACGATTTTCTTTCTAGTTAATATATGTTTGATAGGAATTATTTCTTTCCATACTCTCCATTGCAGCGGTTCAATGTCCGGCTCGGACGGCCCCAACTTACGGAGCGGTGAGTCCTACCGGAGCGGTCTCCTACCCGAACGGGGTCACCTTCACCTGTAACTCGGGATACGTGCTAAACGGCGCTGCTGCTGCCACGTGCCAAGCTGACGGAACATGGAGTATCCCTGTTCCAACATGTGAACGTAAGACTACTTCAAGTTTATATTTGCTAGCGATGTTTAATAAATTGACGTTTTCAGCCATTTACAAGATCGCAAAGGGAGTTTTAAAAGCTTATTCGGTGAATTTTGTGTTTGTTAAAGATGATGGACGTCAATTAAAGTATATATAAGAACTGAAATAGATCCCTGTGATGAAAGTTTATTAGCCATTTCAGCCGGCCAGACCATGTGCAACATTGTCGGTCCAAAATAGCCGAGCTTTTTCAAACCACATCTGTACTCAAACATGGTCAGGGTCACTTTCAATGCGCCAACATGTTGTTTTCTGTCGATTTTCTGTCTAGTTATATGTTTGATAGGAATTATTTCTTTCCATACTCTCCATTGCAGCGGTTCAATGTCCGGCTCGGACGGCCCCAACTTACGGAGCGGTGAGTCCTACCGGAGCGGTCTCTTACCCGAATGGGGTCACCTTCACCTGTAACTCGGGATACGAACTGGACGGAGCTGCTGCTGCGACGTGCCAAGCTGACGGAACATGGAGTATCCCTGTGCCAACATGCACACGTAAGATGACTTGAAAATTTATATATGCTACAGTTTTAGTGATGTCTATAGAACTGAAATATAGTATACAGGCATTTATCAGATATGAAAGGAGTATTAGAAGGTAACTGTGTGGTTTCATGTCCCGGAGAGAACACAGTGAGAGCGCCGTCTATGTGGAATGGGGGTATGATCAAAACATGATAGAAACTTCAAGAAAGGCATATATCAGGATCCGTCCGTATCGTACGTAGGGAATGGCACACATTACGTGTTGTGAATTCCTTACTAGCTACTTGTTTGATGGCAATTATATTTCTTTGCAATGTTCATTGCAGCGGTTCAGTGTCCGACTCTTACGGCCCCAACTAATGGAGCTCTAAGTCCTCTCGGACCATACGCCTATCCTGACGGGGTCACCTTCACATGTAACTCGGGGTATCAACTGAACGGCTTTGCTGCTACCGCGTGCCTAGCTGACGGAACATGGAGTAATCCTGTTCCAACATGCACACGTAAGATGACTTGAAAAACTGATACATGATATAATTGTAGCGATGTCTAGAGAACTGTAGTATACAAGCATTTATCAGATATAGGGTTTTGAGCGGAAGTGAGCCCTAGGCCACACTTCAACCCAGATGGGCATTACTGCTAGTGGTCAGCAAAATATCGTGACCGGTCCCCTTTTCCCAGCCAAATTCATCACAGATAGGATTCATCCTCAAAACGTAACGCGCTTTGATTGGACAAGTTGACATGGCCTCAAAACAAACATATCCGGGCAGTGAGAAAACCTTCATTACAGAGTAATAGAAGGTAACTGTATGATTTTAGCACTCACGGTAGACAGGTATATATGGCAGTACCGTTTCAGCAGAAAGCACACATAGAGTTCGTGAATTTCTTACTATGTAGCTCTTTTTTGGTGGCTATAATTTTTTTTTATAATTCGTATTGCAGCGGTTGAGTGTCCGACTCCTACGGCCCCAACTAATGGAGCTCTAAGTCCTCTCGGACCATACGCCTATCCTGACGGGGTCACCTTCACCTGTAACTCGGGGTATCAACTGAACGGCTTTGCTGCTGCCACGTGCCAAGCTGACGGAACATGGAGTACTTCTGTTCCAACATGTGAACGTAAGACGACTTTACGTTTATATTTGCTAGCGATGTTTAATAAATTGAAGTTTACAGCCATTTACAAGATCGCAAAGGGAGTTTTAAAAGCTTATTCGGTGAATTCTGTGTTTGTTAAAGATGATGGACGTCAATTAAAATATACGAAGAACTTAAATAGATCCCTGTGATAAAAGTTTGTTAGCCATTTCAGCCGGCCAGACCATGTGCAACATTGACGGTCCAAAATAGCCGAGCTATTTCAAACCACATCTGTACTCAAACATGGTCAGGGTCACTTTCAATGCGCCAACATGTTGTTTTCTGTTGATTTTCTGTCTAGTTACATGTTTGATAGGAATTATTTCTTTCCATTGCAGCGGTTCAATGTCCGGCTCGGACGGCCCCAACTAACGGAGCGGTGAGTCCTACCGGAGCGGTCTCATACCCGAACGGGGTCACCTTCGCCTGTAACTCGGGATACGTGCTGAACGGAGCTGCTGCTGCCACGTGCCAAGCTGACGGAACATGGAGTATCCCTGTGCCAACATGCACACGTAAGATGACTTGAAAATTTATATATGCTACAGTTGTGGTGATGTCTATAGAACTGTAGTACAGTATACAGGCATTTATCATATATGAAAGGAGTATTAGAAGGTAACTGTGTGATTTCATGTCCCGGAGAGAACACAGTGAGAGCGCCGTCTATGTGGAATGGGGGTATGATCAAAACATGATAGAAACTTTAAGAAAGGCATATATCAGGATCCGTCCGTATCGTACGTAGGGAATGGCACACATTAAGTGTCGTGAATTCCTTGCTAGCTACTTGTTTGATGGCAATTATATTTCTTTGCAATGTTCATTGCAGCGGTTCAGTGTCCGACTCTTACGGCCCCAACTAATGGAGCTCTAAGTCCTCTCGGACCATACGCCTATCCAGACGGGGTCACCTTCACCTGTAACTCGGGATATCAACTGAACGGGGCTACTGATGCGACGTGCGAAGCTGACGGAACATGGAGTAATTCTGTTCCAACATGTGAACGTAAGACGACTTCAAGTTTATATTTGCTAGCGATTTTTTATGACTTGTAGTTTACAACCATTTACAAGATCGCAAAGACAGTTTTAAAAGCTAAATCGGTGAATTTTGTGTTTGTTAAACAGGATGGACGTCATTTAAAGTATCCGAAGCAATGAAATAGATCCCTGTGATAAAAGTTTATTAGCGATTTCAGTCGGCCAGACCATGTGCAACATTGGGGTCCAAAATAGTCGAGCTATTTCAAACCACATCTGTACTCAAACATGGTCAGGGTCACTTTTAATACACCAACATGTTGTTTTTTGACGATTTTCTTTCTAGTTAATTTATGTTTGATAGGAATTATTTCTTTCCATACTCTCCATTGCAGCGGTTCAATGTCCGGCTCGGACGGCCCCAACTAACGGAGCGGTGAGTCCTGCCGGAGCGGTCTCCTACCCGAACGGGGTCACCTTCACCTGTAACTCGGGATACGTGCTAAACGGCGCTGCTGCTGCCACGTGCCAAGCTGACGGAACATGGAGTAACCCTGTTCCAACATGTGAACGTAAGACGACTTCAAGTTTACATCTGCTAGCGATGTTTAATAAATTGATGTTTTCAGCCATTTACAAGATCGCAAAGGGAGTTTTAAAAGCTTATTCGGTGAATTTTGTGTTTGTTAAACATGATGGACGTCATTTTAAGTATACGAAGAACTGAAATAGATCCCTGTGATAAAAGTCTATTAGCCATTTCAGCCGGCCAGACCATGAGCATCATTGACGGTCCAAAATAGCCGAGCTATTTCAAACCACATCTGTACTCAAACATGGTCAGGGTCACTTTCAATGCGCCAACATGTTGTTTTCTGTCGATTTTCTGTCTAGTTATATGTTTGATAGGAATTATTCCTTTCCATACTTTCCATTGCAGCGGTTCAATGTCCGGCTCGGACGGCCCCAACTAACGGAGCGGTGAGTCCTACCGGAGCGGTCTCCTACCCGAACGGGGTCACCTTCACCTGTAACTCGGGATACGTGCTGAACGGAGCTGCTGCTGCGACGTGCCAAGCTGACGGAACATGGAGTATCCCTGTGCCAACATGCACACGTAAGATGACTTGAAAATTTATATATGCTACAGTTGTGGTGATGTTTATAGAACTGTAGTACAGTATACAGGCATTTATCATATATGAAAGGAGTATTAGAAGGTAACTGTGTGATTTCATGTCCCGGAGAGAACACAGTGAGAGCGCCGTCTATGTGGAATGGGGGTATGATCAAAACATGATAGAAACTTCAAGAAAGGCATATATCAGGATCCGTCCGTATCGTACGTAGGGAATGGCACACATTAAGTGTTGTGAATTCCTTACTAGCTACTTGTTTGATGGCAATTATATTTCTTTGCAATGTTCATTGCAGCGGTTCAGTGTCCGACTCTTACGGCCCCAACTAATGGAGCTCTAAGTCCTCTCGGACCATACGTCTATCCAGACGGGGTCACCTTCACCTGTGACACGGGATATCAACTACACGGCTTTGCTGCTGCCGTGTGCCAAGCTGACGGAACTTGGAGTAGTCCTGTTCCAACATGCACACGTAAGGTGTCTTGCAAGTTGTAAGCATATATTACTAGTAGTTTACGTCTGTAACATAGGTTACGTCTGTAACATGACTAATAACAGAAAAAAATGTAGTTAGTCACGACGTCGTCATTGATGCTGATAACACACACAGGGTGTAGTCGGAATGGAACATAATGGTAACGAAATGGGGCGAAATGAAAAGACGATGCTATATAGCAGGATATATACATAGACACACACACATATATATATATATATATATATATATATATATATATATATATATATATATATATATATATATATATATATATATATATATATATATATATATATATATATATATATATAT